AGCTGAAGTAGGTTGAAAAAATGTAACAGCTTGTCGTGGAATTTTGAGTCCAAATTAGTTTTTTGATTTGAATGTATCAACTGTTCTTAACAATGACAGTGGGATATGGGCTAATCCCACTGGAAATCATGTTGTAATATAAGATTCTTTCATGCCAAGGGGTGTAGGATAGGTACCCTACACCATTGGGCATACACGAGTATCTTTCTCTCATTCCAACTACCAGAATAAGCCCAGAAACCAGGGAAATGCGTTTTGACTGGCTACCATTTTCAAAATATTTTTTGGACGAAAATGAATCAGTCAGCGAGATTAAGCATACCCACTATTTGCAAATAATGTAGAAAAAAATCATCTCATCTTTCTAACGTGTTCGGTAAATACATCGTAAAAGTTTCTAATTTCATCACGTCGCCTTTTTCTAATCTTCCCTTATCTAGAGGGTGTGACAGAGAAATCTCCTACCCGAGGGGTGATGTTTTTTTGTTGTCTAACCCAAGGCTCTGCCGAGGGTTAGACAAAAATGAAAAATCACCCCGAGGGTTTGAGATTTCTCTGTCACACCCTCTAGGTAGGGGATGATTATTTGTCTCCCATCCTATTATAGCAGTCACAACTCCAGCGACAGTAGTCTGCCGTGTTTGTAAATGTTACTATCTACCGTCTACCGACTAATAGGGTATACTCATTATGTAGTGAGTTATTAGGTATTTATGGATCTTTGAGAAAAGTTATTTTATCCCAGCTTGTAATAACAAAAGGTGGAAAACTCATTCAAATGATTGATCTTTTCAGTTCTTCATGGGAAAAATCAATTTCATAACCGCATTTAACTAATTTGTTTCATTTTCCCGGCATGACTATAGCTTTGATATTCATTGCTGGTAATGATGGGAAGATTGCTGTATACGAAAAACAATTGTTTAACCTGCGATGAGACAAAAATCCTTAAAAAGGTAGATAAATCTAAGAGAGTAATGCATATATACTTCCTGCTTTTTAGGAATTGATTGAGGGCGAATTGTATTTCATATTTATTTTCATGTTATACTGAGCTAAGAAGACAATATCTTAAAACACGTCTGCTGGGTTTTATTTGAGCTCAACCAGTCAAGTTGAAAGAATGGAAAACATACTTTATTTTATTATGATGTTTGTAGAAAAACTAGAGCTCTGATTTAAAAAATATTTATATGATAGTTACAACTATATCTTTTTATTTGATATGCTTTTACGTAACTCACATGATGAAAGATGATCACGACTGCCATGTTTAAATTGTTCATGTTTTCTTTTACATATTGGGACCCAACTTAAACTTAAATCTTGTTTCTGTATGTATCGCATTCTTGTATCCCCTGCTGTGCGAGTCCGCCTGCCACTTTCCTTGTCATCACTCCAACACCCATACTGTATGGAACTTAACATTTTTTTCCGCCTTGAAACACCTTTAATAAGGTCAAATATGGGCTATATTAGTCTAAGGTCAACGCAACTGTTACTAAAACAACGATTGTACAAAATATGATTTGTGATTACTTTGCAGCCATTTGTTTTGACAGATTTTCCTGACACTTCAAACACATATGCCTTTGACAAACCGTTAAAGAGTTTTAAAATTGTTATTATTATTTGTCCAACGTCAAGGTCAACGTTTCTAAAAATATAATTCACCGCAAAGCTTTTGATCACGCCATGCAGTGGAAATAAGGATTTAGATTGACTTGATCAGTTCCAGTACATGATACTAACACATACAATATTATTTTTTAAAGTGTATTAGTTTTAAGTGCATACTCAAAGGTACTACACTTTAGGCCTTTAATTTTTTATTATTTCGAAAGCTCTTGATACCTTTGGCAATAGAGTTTGAGATGTAAGTCCACCATGTCAATCATTAGATTATTAAGTGTAAAACAACAGGATTGACCGTCAACTCCATTGTATGCAATAAACAATAATGCTAATGGAATGTCCTGCAGTAATGACCAAAGCTTCCATACAGTTATTACCTGTTGCTTCACACTTAATTATTTATTTATGCGTTAACAGAGCTTTTTATTCCAAACTTCTGGATATCAATGGAATAGTTAGTAAATGAAAAAAATAATTTTGAGATTAACAGGAATATGTCCTAACATGATCGACTTAGCTGCCCGCTAATATGCCTTAAACTGAATATACTACTGATTTTAGTGTTTGTACGTATCAATGTGATGTACTGCAGCAAGATAAGATGAAACAAATTTGACACAGATGCAAAAACAAAAGGTTTCAGTTTAGTTGAAAGCATGTTTGAGAATATAATTGAATATATAATTGAGGTTATCATTAAATTGGAATCAACATTTACAATTAGGGAGAAATAAAGCATATTGTCGAATGGAATACGTATAGTTGTATTTATCTTGTAAAGATGTTGAAAATCAAATCTTCTAAAATCAACTTAACAAAATAAAATATTTCGTTCTCTTTCTCAATATCATCATCACTCGATAATATTAACTGTTCTCGTGTGCAGAGGTATACATAAACATAAGCTTTAAACGGATTGTTTACAAAAATCCTTCCGCGAAATGTAGTATTCAAACTACGGTTTTATAAACAATATTTTTTTCTAGTAAGTTCTTAATGAATCAAACAATAATGTTTATTATGCATTGAAAATACATGTTCGAACATTCTTAGATAAATGAAAAACCTATAATTTATAAGAATTTAATACGTTGATGGAATATAAGTTTTCTCGATCTATTTCTATATACAACTTCCTATAAAGCATATAAATATCTCATATAGGTGTTAGATTATATATCATATACTTTATAAGGTATCCTATTAACGGTTAGCATATTGATTATGGTAATCTGACCACGAATAAGTGTTATTTTGTCTTGCCATAGAGTGTACTGACTGACCTTTGTAGTCAGTTGCTGGTTTTGACAAGTCTCTGGATTCTTTTGATAATGCGTTTGCGTCGTTGTAGCTTAACTAGGTCAGACGACGACGGGCGCCAAGACCGACTCCAAGGAGGCACCGTAACGAGGACAACAGATACAGTGTTCATGTGTTCGCATTAATAGGTCCCCGTATCTATGTCAATGTCAACCGAATTAAAAATAAATGTTCACTGCTTGACTCCAAATAATTGTCTTTCGTGTCTTTGCAAGTTTTAAATCCTCGTGTTTTTTTTCATATTTCATTATTCTACGAGGAGGCAGTGAGTTTTATTGCATTAAAGTTTGTAAATGTTCTTAGGGAAATAAGGAGCTTACGATGCCTGAAATATTGAGTTGATAGAGCAATGATTTCGATTTGATGCCGAAAAGACTGGGCTAAAGATCTCTGGTAGACTGTACTCGGCCTTTATCAGTGTAAATTCTACCATCAATGCTATTCTGGGACAAATGGCCTACAATTTGGAAACAATCACACTTTATCATGGGTGTAATAGAGAAGCGATGCCACGCATTCGTTATATTAAAAATACAATGGTTTCAACACAATTCAAATAAAACAAAATACTGTTTTGAGAAAAAATCTTTCATTGTTACATAATAATCACGACATGATTTATGACGATAAATACTGTTTTACATTAACATATATATATATATACCCAACTTTGCAGTAATTGATGAACGCATGCGCAGCAATCTACATAACTTTTTATATATAATAAACCTGACATTACATGCTAAATGTATATATAGGAAATGAAAGGAAGCAGTTTCATTTGTCTGTTACGATATCAATTGTGACATAAACAAATCAGTAGACAGCTTATAGCGATTTTAAACACCTTAAGTTCATCCAATAATACATGACTCCACAAGATGGTCGAAAAACATGGCAACTCTGTCTTCTAGTTTGTATGGTTGAATACCATTTTATATATCACGAGTGTGCTGAATATTTCAATATATCAAAATGCGCCAGCAGTAGTGCAAATATCGTGGTATTCTACCACACGAATGCAATGAAAATGGCATTCAACGGGAAAACATTTAACTATTCTGTGAATTACATTTTTAGCACAATATAGTGAAGAACACGACTCTGTAAAACAGAAGTGCTACATAACGTAATACTATCTTTCCATTGCTGATCGGGATTTTAGTTTATGGTATCATACTCCTATTACGTTACACACAAGAACACTGTCTAACGCTCATATTTAATTTTGATTTTTCTTATTGGTTATTACGTTCATTGCTTTTGTTTTCCACAATTTCATTGGATTAAATCGACGTTTAATTTATCACTAGTGAAACACATCACTGTTATATTTCACTCCAGTGAAAGTTATAACTTTATTTTAATGTACTATTCCTGATATTTCATTGGTAAAAATATCGTATACAAATATAGGTTGAAAGCGGACAAAAATGGCCAATGATTGACTTCCGTGTCCGGTTCACAAGGAATTTAACTTCAGTGTAGAAAATATGTTTTAAATTAAATAGCAGTTTATGTTCTTTACATACGAAGTCATCATCACTATAGACATTCTTTTAGAATCACAACAAATCTAGTTTCATCTTTCGATTGACTAACCTTCCCACAATTCCGTAGATCCGTTTTGTGTTTCATCTATATCCTGTCACGTGGTCTAAAATGATTCTAACACAGTATGTTCGTACAGATCCATACGAGATACGGTTTTATCACACACTTATATTAGTGATTATAAACCATACTATATATAACATCCATAGTGTTGGATGTTACTGTATATATCCTTGGGATACAACAATTATGGTTTGACAGAACGACAAAACACGGTCACAGAAATTATAAATGCACACTACCTAAAATAAAGATATTTTGGAAGTAAAAATGTTTAGGGAAATGTTTTTATGTATTTGATAGGCCCCTTTACTGTAAGATTCAACATCGAATACGAAGTGAGAGCAACACTTTGTTAAATTGTCGCTAATTCGTTGCTCTTAGTTTTGTTGGATATATAAGTTAGAATGTGCACGAGGTCAGCATATATATCAAGAGTGTAATACAATGAACAAAAGCGCTAGCGTGAACGTGTTCACCCCTAGGACCATATATCCCAGAATTCTGTTCAGCTTGGCTGCTTTGTGTGATCCGTTAAGTTCCGGTTCCGGTGGCGCTTTGGTGAGGGAGAATTCATTATGCGTTAATGTATTAATTCGGACAACTTTGTTAACCGTTTGATCGTCACTATTAACCTGACTAATTCGGTCGTTATCACAGTTACACACCTGCGTATTGCGATCTTTGATCTCCTTTTGTGGTTTGTGATACGTGAAGAGAACGAGAACCTCCAGGCCTATGATCAAACCACTGATCACGAGCTGGAACACCAGGTACATTCCAAATATGGGTATATGGATTGATGACTGAGGAAGTGTATCACTGATCAAGGTTAGAAATACAACGAAGGTCAAAAATATCGACATACACATTCCAATTTTCTCACCGCTCTCGATGGGTAGAATAAAACACAGTTGATTGAGTAAAGACAGAATGATAAGAGGGACCATGATGTTTAGAACGTAGAACAAAGGGCGCCTCTGTAACGTCATTCCGTATTTGATTCTGGAGAAATTTTGACTGGCTTCAAAATGGCGGTGTTTCCTTACAATGGCACTAAGTATTTCCCATTCCTCGCTTTGCTCGTAATGTACGAGGTCGACACTTGGGTAGGTATAAGTGATATTCAATACATTATCGTTGGAATACCATTTACTAATTTCAATTTCACAGAACTGGCTATCAAATGGGTATTTGGTCGAATCCACCTTACATGTTGTCTTAATTTCCTTCCCGGGCCACCACGTCACGTGACCGTCCGACATCACAATCGGATCATTCAGAGTTGTCTCTCCTATTCCCCGTTTATTTCCAATCTCGTTTTGAACGAGAAGATCGGGGGTCCAGATTTTGTCCTTGTCGGCCAAAAGGGAGGAGACACCTCCATAGTCTGACTCGTTCCATTTTAGAAGTTCATCGTACCATCGGATGTCCATCCAAATGCTCGAGGTCAGAACCTGGTTTTTCTCACTTAGGTCCGTGATTCTCAACAAATACATGGCAACCTCCACACTCAGAGCAATCTTGCTATCCGACACTGGTCTCACTCGGGGGTTGTAGTTCTCAAATAGTACCGTGTGCAACATGGCCTCCTTAAGGAGCTCTGCACCCTTGCACAAGACACACACAACAGCAATAACTAGTGTCCGTAAACTTAGTAAACGGCTCATATCCAAGGAATAAACCTGAAACTGCTCACTTGTAACGTTAAGCGTACATATCCCTGTACAATATTTTTTTGGTTATAAAAAGTTGGTATCCTACAGCAAGAAAGCAAATGTTTTTCCGCGTCACAGTTCCAGGAAATCATTCATTGGTTTCACTGAGTTTAAATTCAACGTTACAAGAAAATGTTAATCGGTTGTATGTGCCACGTTACAATTGCTCAAAACCTGGATGATAACACGACATCTGTAACATGCTGTCATATCGAAAATAAAACTTTGATTTTGAAATATTGTTTTATTGTTATTATCCGAACACACCACTGTTGACTTAACGCTGTTTTTGTCTCTTTACTTTAATCCTATTATCTTCATTATACTGGTCAAGCGTTGATTACAGGTTTTCTCTAAAACATTCAACAAATATATCTGTTCATATTGTTAAAAAAGAATCACTTACTTTTTTCATTTCCTTTTAAAAGTATCCAAAAAACATTCTCTGTGGAAATGGAGATTTTTCACCACACTAATGTAAAGTTCCAATATGCTGAAGTAGGGAGTTTTCAACTCCTCGTGCGAACTTGTGACAGGATGAACTGTGTCAGCGATGTACCGTTTTGGTGTTGTAGGCAGCGTTTGTTGGTGATTGAGGCTGACAGAGAGAACAGCGTAAAGCAAAAACAGTTTTCCAATAAGTTAACGCATAGAATCAACGCTAAATACGGCTACGGTGCCTCAAACACCCATTCTAAATACAAAACGGAGCGGGAACTGAGTGTCCCCGGAACAATTTGACAATGCTATATGTGCTTAGGATTTCGTTATATTGATTACCTGATACAGTCTGTTATTCATGAATAGCACAGGTGTTCGTGATATATCACGGAACGGTTAATTGCTCTCTAACCGTGTAAATATCTCGTCAGTGGTCGATTGTTCTGTCCTAAGGGATCGGAGTCAAAGACTCAGATAAGTGACGCCAATAGTGGATCTCGATCGTCTACTATGACTTCTGAGGATATCCCCTAAAGTCATAAATGATGTATCGGACATCACAATATCTCGTTTATTACCCGATTGATATATAGAATCTCAGATTAATTAAACAACTACCATTTTCATTCAATTTACCATTAAAATATGGGTGGTAATCACTACAGTAAGGATATCTTTAGTGCAGTTAAGGTTTTTATATAAGACATGCTGTAGCTTCAATAGTGATGGCATTAAATTTGTTGTGACGTTCCAAAATAGAAAATATTCTAAACAGAATGTATCATGTTTAACCGTTAAAAATATATTGATTTGCGTTTAGCATTAAACAAAATTGTATTTGAGTCTCGACATTTTGTCATAAATTCAAAAATATAAAGAGTGAAATTATTCAATCTCACCAGTAACACAAAAACATGTATAATGCAGTGTATTAATACATTGCAATACCAATACATGCACTTCGTTGTCAGAGTGTAAAGATACATTAAAATTAAAAATAGTCTACCCTTTTAACGTGAACGATGTATCAAGGTGACGATACATTCACTTAAAAGAAAGAGTATATCGATAAATGGGCATTACAACACGTATGTGTTCATCTGATATCTAAGATTGCATAAGTGCATTGCGCATATGGATATATTTCCCGAGGGGTTCTGCTGTGTCCGTTCGTGTCGTACAAAGGTTGACCCCTTGTAACGCCTTACACAGTTCTACTCATTACACTACAGTTAACCCATTGGGACGCTTTACAACGTTATACTCATTACACTACAGTTAATTCATTGGTGCTGTGTCCGTTCGTGTCGTACAAAGGTTGACCCCTTGTAACGCCTTACACAGTTCTGCTCATTACACTACAGTTAACCCATTGGGACGCTTCACAACGTTATACTCATTACACTACAGTTGACACATTGGACGCTTTACAACGGTATACTCATTACACTACAGTTAACCCATTGGGCCGCTTTACAACGTTATACTCATTACACTACAGTTAATTCATTGGTGCTGTGTCCGTTCGTGTCGTACAAAGGTTGACCCCTTGTAACGCCTTACACAGTTCTGCTCATTACACTACAGTTAACCCATTGGGACGCTTCACAACGTTATACTCATTACACTACAGTTGACACATTGTGACGCTTTACAACGTTATACTCATTACACTACAGTTAATTCATTGGTGCTGTGTCCGTTCGTGTCGTACAAAGGTTTACCCCTTGTAACGCCTTACACAGTTCTACTCATTACACTACAGTTAACCCATTGGGCCGCTTTACAACGTTATACTCATTACACTACACTTGACACATTGGGACGCTTTACAACGTTATACTCATTACACTACAGTTGACACATTGGGACGCTTTACAACGTTATACTCATTACACTACAGTAAACCCATTGGGACGCTTTACAGCGTTATACTCATCACACTACAGTTAACCCATTGGGACGCTTTACAACGTTATACTCATTACACTACAGTTAACCCATTGGGACGCTTTACAACGTTTTACTCATTACACTACAGTTAACCCGTTGGGACGCTTTACAACGTTATACTCATTACACTACAGTTAACCCATTGGGACGCTTGACAATGTTATACTCATTACACTAACGTTAACCCATTGGGACGCTTTACAATGTTATACTCATTACACTACAGTTAACCCATTGGGACGCTTGACAATGTTATACTCATTACTCTAACGTTAACCCATTGGGACGCTTTACAATGTTATACTCATAACACTACAGTTAACCCATTGGGACGCTTTACAACGTTATACTCATTACACTACAGTTAATTCATTGGGACGCTTTACAACGTTATACTCATTACACTATCGTTTAACCACTGTAGCACCTTACACCTTCATACTCATTACACTATCGTTTACCCTTTCTAACACCTTACACCGTTTTACTCATTACACTATCGTTTACCCTTTGTAACACCTTACACCGTTTTACTCATTAAACAATCGTTTACCAATTGTACCAACTTACACCGTCATATTCATTACACTATCGTTTACCCATTGTAACACCTTACACCGTCATACTCATTACACTATCGTTTACCCATTGTAGCACCTTAAACCGTCATACTCATTACACTATCGTTTACCCATTGTAACACCTAACACCGTCATACTCATTACACTATCGTTTACCCATTGTAACACCTTACACCGTCATACTCATTACACTATCGTTTACCCACTGTAGCACCTTACACCGTCATACTCATTACACTATCGTTAACCCTTTGTGACACCTTACACCGTTTTACTCATTAAACTATCGTTTACCCATCGTACCACCTTACACCGTCATACTACCTTACACTACGGTTTACCCATTGCGACACCTTACACCGTTTTACTCATTAAACTATCGTTTGCCCATTGTACCACCTTTCACCGTGATACTCATTACACTATTGTTTACCCATTGTACCACCTTACACCGTTTTACTCATTAAACTATCGTTTACCCATTGTAACACCTTACAGCGTCATACTCATTACACTATCGTTTACCCATTGCGACACCTTACAACGTTATACTCATAACACTATCGTTTACCCATTGTGACGCCTTACACCGTTATACTCATTACACTACTTTTATTTACCCATTGTGACGCCTTACATCTTTTTACTTATTACCCTATTTTTTACCCATTGTGACGCATTACAACATGGTACTATTGTGTAGACACAAGTTTCGAGGTAAAGCTTAGAAAGAAGGTCTCGTGCAATCCTTGTATAATGAGGAAGATCATGGGAAATGGACTTGAGTACGCTAGACTGAAGAAAAACACAAATTCGGTCGATGACAGTGACATGTATACATAATATAGCGCGTGACTTTGTTATGCTGGATTTTGGAATGACCGTATGATCCCATCTTGCGTTATGTATGAAGCTCGTGTTATGCATGTATTATATGGTATACACGAATGAACATGTGTCTAAGTTTCCTAAAGCGTCGTGAACTCGCCGAGGCCGGTCACGTGACGCGTAAAAAAGGAGTTCCACCTGAACGTTTCGGGTGGGTGAGAAATCTTACCGAAATAGGGTCTTATTAGACAACGGGGGCAAGCAGTGATAACTATGGAATACAATTTATCCGAACATTAATACGTTATAGGACAGTTGGGTTCCATTGGGTAAGTCGTCAACTAATTATTCTTATTTCTTTGATATCTGTCGCTGTAAGCCCCCGTGACCTGACAGCCATCTCTGATAACCGCCTACTGACTACTTACGTTGTAGTATTTTGACATACGTTGAGGGTTCCTGTCGCGGTTATAATTGGAATACAGACCTGTTGCATCCTAATCAGTCAGCGTCATACATCGGTGGGAGTTAGGGACTTGAATATTCATTATCAAATGTATTTATATCATGTAACAGAAACTGTTCTACCAAATATTTCAGATATATTGATCCTCAAATGTCGTCATCTCCATTGTGAAATGAAATACAGACAGTTGACGACAATTTTTAAATAAAAAAACGACCAATGCAACATTATCAACATATTTGTCTTTATTTGTGATAAAAAAATCTTTGATACCCAGCAGAACGAGAATTTAGGATCAACCGAAAATATGCATATCACTTTTCCACATCGTAGGGGGATTGTAATGTGGGATCTCCTACTCTGTTCCTATCCATTGCGTCTCACTTGTCACCTCTCTATAGTTCCATATTACATTTTATAATCAGCATTGTATTATTGTGTATTTTAAGAGTCATTTAAAAAAGTGTATCTATTCAATGAGTATCGATAATTGTATTTATAAGTATATCTATAAAAGTGTATTAATAAGAGCATATACATTGTATAAGAGTAACCCATAAGAATGTATTTATAAGAGTGTATTCATGAGTGTATCTAACAGTGTGTTAATAAGATTGTATTTATCAGTGTAACTATTACGGGTGTATTTATAAGTGTATTTATCAATGTGTAAGACTGTAAGA